AATTTTAGAAAAAAGCTACTTACAAAACCTTTAATAATTAAATCATGATCGAAAACTATTCAATTGTATAAAATGCCAAATCAGGGGAAAATGTACCAAACAGAAAATAAATTGCCAAATTAATCACCAGTGGCAACTGTGCAAGTGATCAGCTGTTTCNTGTTTCGAAAGTTGCAAGTTTTTGCAAATTTTGCGTTCTCGTACTTCTGTTGATATTTCATCTCTTTGAGAGCGAATGCTGCCAAATTCTCAGAACTTTTGCTGCTGGAGAATTTTGTCCTCTCAATACGCGTACACACCTATTAACAAAATAATTGTTTGTGGTGCTTTAAGAGTTGCAATTGACAAAATAAACCTATTTAAATACATAGGTGCAATCCCTTATTAGTCGGACTAAAACTAGTAAAACTGTCAAAAAATAAAAATTCGCTCAGAGCGAGAGAGTAACATTGAAAAGTACGGGATGGCTTTCTAGTAACAAATGGTAACTTCTGTCAACTTCAACATAACCTCCAAATTTTGGTTGTAATATTTTGCTTATTTTTATGTAAACACACTCAGCTCACACATGTAAATAACCAAAAATACTTTAAAACCAGAGTGCACTTTTCTTTTGTTTATAATTTGGTTGCCAAACACACTACAGCTGATCGTTTGACAAATTTACCAGAATTTACCAGCAAAAAATTCTCTGACTAAAAATGGTAACTTCAGGCAGAGAGAGAACGGTATTTACTCTCTTTTTTGTCCTCTCAATAGTCAGAGAACCGCGTACCAGGCTAACCTAATATTCGCGGCTTGCGTTTTGGTACGCACGCCGTCGAATTTGTTTTTTTGCGTCACCCGAAATTGGCTTGCGTGCGTTTGCATTTGATTTCATTGAGCGAAACGTCAAATCAAAATATCACGCAGAACAAAAATTGGAAATTGAGTTAGCTTCATACGCACGCCGTTCAATTTCGGTTGGTCCCATACAAGTTGTATGTGCATGAGAAATTTTTGACAGTAAATTGGCGGCGTGCGTGAATATTAGGTAAGCCTGTACGGGATCGATTTCCAGTAAAATCCGTCAGATCCTGACTTTTTCTGACTGGTCCGGACTCGTACGGGATCGCAACATATAATAAGATGGAAAATACTAGTTTTCTAAGAAAATTGCATCGGAAAATAACAAATTAATTAGGTGTTATAAAACTAGCAACTTCTTGCTGGTTTTACGTTTTCGTACTTTCTTGCATATTTCACTCATTGGGAGTAAATATTGGCTTTATGATGTATTATGGAACGAATTTCCGTCATCCCTTGTCAAATTTGGTTTGGAGACAAACCGGTTTCGGCGTTGTGCCATCTTCAGTGTCATTTTTCGTTCTGCATAATTTTTGTTGGTTGCTCGTATTTATACTCCTTGTTAACTACCTCTTTCTTTTGTTAGGTACGTCTTTTTAGTTTTGCAGTGTTTGCGGTACTCAATAGGTAGATGAATTGTTTTGGCTCGTTTTTGACGGCAGGTCAAAACCAAAAAGGAAATTGGCTTAAAGCTTAAACAGACGGCAGCGTAGATCCCGATTAACTCGGTCTTAATCCAGATCAACTGCAGTTAATTCCCGAGCTGATCCGGATCAACGCTGCCGTCTGTTTATGCTTTTACTAACCGAAATTTGGTTACTGGCAACTTACTAGGGGTATTCNCGTACCAGGCTAACCTAATATTCGCGGCTTGCGTTTTGGTACGCACGCCGTCGAANTGACTAAAAATGGTAACTTCAGGCAGAGAGAGAACGGTATTTACTCTCTTTTTTGTCCTCTCAATAGTCAGAGAACCGAGTACGGNGAACCGCGTACCAGGCTAACCTAATATTCGCGGCTTGCGTTTTGGTACGCACGCCGTCGAATTTGTTTTTTTGCGTCACCCGAAATTGGCTTGCGTGCGTTTGCATTTGATTTCATTGAGCGAAACGTCAAATCAAAATATCACGCAGAACAAAAATTGGAAATTGAGTTAGCTTCATACGCACGCCGTTCAATTTCGGTTGGTCCCATACAAGTTGTATGTGCATGAGAAATTTTTGACAGTAAATTGGCGGCGTGCGTGAATATTAGGTAAGCCTGTACGGGATCGATTTCCAGTAAAATCCGTCAGATCCTGACTTTTTCTGACTGGTCCGGACTCGTACGGGATCGCAACATATAATAAGATGGAAAATACTAGTTTTCTAAGAAAATTGCATCGGAAAATAACAAATTAATTAGGTGTTATAAAACTAGCAACTTCTTGCTGGTTTTACGTTTTCGTACTTTCTTGCATATTTCACTCATTGGGAGTAAATATTGGCTTAAAGATGTATTATGGAACGAATTTCCGTCATCCCTTGTCAAATTTGGTTTGGAGACAAACCGGTTTCGGCGTTGTGCCATCTTCAGTGTCATTTTTCGTTCTGCATAATTTTTGTTGGTTGCTCGTATTTATACTCCTTGTTAACTACCTCTTTCTTTTGTTAGGTACGTCTTTTTAGTTTNATTGGGAGTAAATATTGGCTTAAAGCTTAAACAGACGGCAGCGTAGATCAGGATTAACTCGGTCTTAATCCGGATCAACTGCAGTTAATTCCCGAGCTGATCCGGATCAACGCTGCCGTCTGTTTATGCTTTTACTAACCGAAATTTGGTTACTGGCAACTTACTAGGGGTATTCTCTGAGTCTTGCAAAGCCCTTGCATGGTGCACAGATTGCACGGTTAAACCCGGTTTTCGTATGGGACAGCTTTGCAAACCGTGCACCGTGCAAGGGCTTTGCAAGACTCAGAGAATACCCCTACTGTATATTTTTTGCTGGAGAATACGAAAACACAACTATTATATGGGAGTTGTAATTTGATCATATAAAACAAAAATTGAATTTTGAATTTTTTATTAGTTATGACTAGGGCTCGGAATCTCATGCAACTGCACGTTTTTATTGGGCATCTGCAAATGGAAATGGTTAAGTTATCTTTACGAATCATGAAATTTTTGTTTAAAATTGCATTCAATCGTTAGTGCATAATTTGCAGTAAATGCCTAATTTTGCACATTTTGCAAAAAATACCCGATTTTGCATACTTCATGAGAAAATTCGCAATAGTTTTGCTAAAACACACCCTTGCCAATGTACGCTAAAGTAAACCTAAGTCTTGGCCTGGTATTTACAGAATGATACACTTACCACAAAAGAAAAACATTAAATTTTGTTTTTAGAAAATACTTAAAACACTTGTAAATGTACATATGTATTACTCCCCCTGATATGGGGAAAATTAAACAAATACCAAAAAATAACTGACTATTATCTCAAGCTTAATCAAAGTGTATTATAAACATGTTGAGCTTAATTACATTTCGTTTATATTGTCAAACGTTACCAAATCTTTAGCCATGCACTAAAAGAGGGCCCCACAGAATGCATCTTTTTTTTTTAATCCAGCGCACCCAGAGAAAGAGCGAAATATAAACACTGAAATATTTTTTATTTGCCGAAAACCATATCAGCAGCATACAACGAGAATGAGATAGACAGAAGGATTTTGTGATGCATTGCATTTCATTTCCCATTGATTTTCACACTTTTGTTGCAGTGGCAAATTGGTGCCGCCACTTCCCGACACAGAAAACAATTACGTACGAAAATACAAGTAGATATGCAAAAAATGGGGTTCATAGTTATTGTAAACACAATTTTAAATTGCATAAAGTGAAAATGCGATCGCCAAGATACAAGAAGTTACTTCGACAACGTAAACGACAGGGTGCTCTTTTCACTTCAAATCAGCACAGCTTTTTGTCGTTCTCATAACTTTTGCACATATATACATACATACGTGCATGAACTGCTACACATCATTGCATCACAAGTAAATATATAATTTTCTATTACATTGGGCGAAATTTGATTCCACCCTATCGCAAGTGGTGCAGGTTATTTAACATTAGTAAATATGCTAAAGATATATTTTAAACCATTTTAGTCATGGAAAATCTCACATCTTTACACTTTGAGGTCACTATGCATATGTATGTACATATATTACTCGTCTAGAAGTAGGTAAAATCACCAAATCAGACAATATTTTTTGAATGATAATTTCTCACTCACTTGCACGAAGCTGACCGTAGTAGTAGAGTAGTATTTAAATAAAACTACTTGTTTTAAATAGTATTTATTTGATAAATTTTATGCCACAAAACACCAAGAAAAACCGTCTCGTCGACAGCCAACCAGCCGCAGTGCAGCTATACAACGAGAAGACGAGATAGAAACAGCCGATTTTACTCGTTTATCAACGAGATTTTGAAATTGGCACCCTGTGGGCAACAACAAACCAAACTGCAATGATTGCCACAAATGTAAATACTACGCTAGTGCGGCTCTTCGGCCTGGGCAATCTCTTACAGCGAACCGCCTTAGTGCGAACGAGTCCACAGGTGTGCAGTGAAAAAAGCAAACAGCAAACAGTAGGAAGACAGACCGAATTAGCTGCTAAATTCGAGAAATTTTACTTCACAAAATTGCATGTGAAGTGACCGGCTACTAAATGGAAAATTAGTTACTTGTCTTGTACAAATTAAACCAAGTTTCAATGGCTATTGTAAGCTAATTAATAACTTTTCAAAATATATAACTGTCCCCGTAAAATCAGCTAATTTTAATTTGCAAACCCATATTTTTCGAACTTATAATTCCTTGATCGCGGAGTGGCACTGTGCATCAAATTATATACAAAAACTTAATTCAGTGCAATGCAACATTCCAATTGGCCTCAANTAGCTAATTTTAATTTGCAAACCCATATTTTTCGAACTTATAATTCCTTGATCGCGGAGTGGCACTGTGCATCAAAATATATACAAAAACTTAATTCAGTGCAATGCAACATTCCAATTGGCCTCAAATTGGGATTCCTTTTGCTATTTTAGTTATGTCGATTCTACTTTACTGTCACAAGTTTTGTGTGTACACGAATTTGCACTTCCTTCGCATATTACATTCGTCCGTTTGCGCCTTGGCGTACGCTGCTTGTCTCGTTTCAGCACAAAGTTTTGAAATATGCTTCGCCCTTTTTCTTTAATATCAGAATGAGCACACCCTACACACACATTCAACCGAATCTGAGTGGATTTTTTTCCATTCACCGACACCGATAAGATATGAAATTTCAGCTTTAAAACACCACTGGTAATTAATCGAAAACTAAGATTTTTCACTTTTTTCAAATACTTTGCAAAACAAATTACCGAATATGATATCCTTGGGGATTATCTTGGTCAAAAATGACCGAAAAATCGCAATGTTCTATATCTGCACCACACCAAATCACTGCTTCGAGCAAGAGAAATTACGGAAAATATTCGTCCGACGGGAGCAGCGTTGCCAAATGTTGCAAAAGTATTTAGACGTGTTAACAGAGTGTGACGACAGTTTTACATTTATTAAATTAGCATATTATCCATTAAACTTTTTATTACTTTGAACCGTTTTTAAAAATGTGATAATGTATAAAATTATATTAATGGTATACCAAATATACGACAAATTTGTTACATGGAGAAATTTGCTCTGGTACAGGGTGCCTCAGATGAGATAGAAATCAAAGGAAGAGGAAGTTGAGAAACTTTGAAATACTTTACGCTATTTTTATACAAACTATTTAACATTTAACTTTTAAATACATAAATGTATAAATTGCCACATAACTTGGACAAATATTAAAAGAAATATTGCTAAATATAAACTAATTTTGTCGCACTTCCACCTCACGGAACTCAGCTGGATCCGTAAATCGCACAGTGAGAATATAAAAAATCGAAGGGAATGGTATGAGGCACAAAAACGCATAGTGATGGCCCAAAGCGATGATTCCATAGGCCAGCAAAAGCCAATGTACAGCTAAAATTAGCAAAATTTTGTTTTTTAATTGACCATTATTATAAAATATATCTTTGATTTTAGTGTGAACTTACAAATGATAACAAAATTTTTTACTTCTAGTAACGACGAGCGTATCAAGGCCTTAAAGGACTGGTCTAACTTGACCGAATAATGTATCGCATTTGTTATCATAGAGATTCCAATACTCAAATATGGAAAAAACCAATCTGCAAAAGGAAATATCACCAGGATAGTCATTTACACAATATTCAATTGTAAATATTTACAAATAAGCCCGCAAGCAAGTGCGTGTATCGATGTCAAAAGCGGCAGGAAATAAAGGGCCGCATAAATGGGCGCTTTTCCACGTACATCTGTAATGGCGCTAACAATGGGCCGTATGAGAAACATTGTTGATAAACACAAGAAATAGAAGACAAGTACGATGGTTTGACTGCGGAAGAATTAATAATTGTATAAATCCTGAAATTTTAATTTCCTGATGCGACCATAAAATACTTACAGCGGGTATACTGCTTCTTGTGTACAATGCAAACGTGTCTCATAGTTTGGACTGGGGTTGTAAAATAGCGTATACCAATCGGTGAAATTACGCACTCCACAAGAATGCAAGCGGAATTCCCACATCGGTTCCATAACCAAAATGGAAAGCGTAGCAGAAAGTGATATCTCAATAAAAGCGCAGGCGGTAAGTATCAATTGCTTGCGTGAAAATCTAAAAAAAATAATAATAAATTTTCCTTATATGTACACAGCTATTTTGTAAATTCGCTTACTTGCGATCCTTCGCATGTAGATCGATAAAGAAGCAGTGCAACATTAGTGGCAACATTGCCATAAATCCTAAATACAGCCAAGAGTAGGTGTTCAATTCATCACGGCATGGTGCACAAATGAAGGACTCATTTACCCGGTAGCCACGCTCACATGCTCCACAATCGGACCAGCTTCCATTATCGTACATGCTGCGACCACAATATTGGCCGGGACAACGATCCATTTTGATGGATGTGGCTATTACTGTTAAATAATTTCTTCACATTGGTAATGGGTGCGAAAAGAAAATATTTTTGTTTATTTTACGAAAAGTGCAATTTCCAAACCGCTTGTTTACTTTTTTGGACAGCTGATTTGTGCACTCTTCTTCTTTTTGATCCTTGGGTTTTCACAATAGGCCAGAAGGTTTTACTATAAATACAGCAGATGTCGCAAGAGCTTTGAAGGTTTTTTTATTTGCGTTATCGTAACCAGAGACCGTATATTCCTATACGTTCTCTGTCGTAACCATGACAAAAATATTCAACGAGAATTCAGAAAAGTAACTTTTTTCTGGACTTTCAAGTTCTCAAAGATCAAAAAGAATTTGTTGTAACAGGACCACAAATGTTTAACGACTTCTGGACGCAATGATTCAAGTTTTAAAGAAAAACTTTATGGGTTGATTATCAAAAGGCCGTAGGTTTACTTTAAATACAGCAGGTGTCGCAAAAGCTGTTGAAGCAGAGAACGTCTCTGCTCAAACTGCCATATTTGTCTGATTACACATTTAATTTGTTACTTTTTCATGTTGCATACCTTTAGCTACTTGTTATTTACAGGTCAATTCTGCGCTGGTAATAAAAATTGTTACAGGTAATAAAGTTCCTGTAAACCCTGCAAAAATCGCGACTACTCCATGCATGCGTGTAAAGAGTACCCCTAAGGACCAAAGAGTACTCCAAAATTAACCACAATTCATATAAAAAATATGGTCCAATTAACATTGCGATGTCCTAGGGCAGGACCATATATTCCATCCCTGCATTACATCGAGATTACAAAGATTACCATATGAAAGTACAAATCATAAAAAGAAAAAACAAGAAACATCTTAAAAATACCCATAAAAGTTATAATATAAAGGAAGGCAAATACTTTTAAACATTAAAAAAAAAGAAAATTCATATAACATATTCCCTTTAAAAAACCATAAGAATACTTAAAAATCTAAACAAGTCTTTTTAAATTCTCTTTTTAAAAAAAAAAAACCATAAAATTTTAAATACATATATATATATATATTTAAAAAATTATCATTCCATTTCTTATCAATCAATTAACTAACTTTTTTTTTATATAATTTTTATATTTTATTTTTTTTAATTACCTTTTCTTTAAATTTTTTATTTTTATCTATTAGTTTTTTTTTTCTTATTTTTCATTTTTAATTTAAAATTTTTTATTTTTTTTTTTTAAACAATTAAATAACAAACAAAATTTCAGATCAAAACATATACATACACATGAAAAAAAATCCTTAATAACTAAAGATTACTTTCTAAACCTGCTTTGTGTAGGAAGGAGATTATTTCTTTAAAAACATTCACATTATAAGAACTTAAAGTATCCTTTATACAAGCATAATTATTAAAAAAAGAAAGACCAGCCCTGGCAGCAGTGTATTTAGGGCACTCAAAAATTAAATGATTCAAAGTCTCTGTAACCCCACAACTAGAGCACTGATCACTAACACCTCTTTTGAATTTACTAATATACATATATACTACCATACGTATGACCCGTTAACAATCTATTCATTAATTTGATGTCATATACATCCATATTACATTTTTTATCCCTAAACCAAGGCCTCTTTTTCAACCCACCCCCATTTTCTACAAAGGCTTTCCCTTTAACCATACTTAAATTCACAAACTCACTTTCCCATTCTTGCCATACCAAATTTTGAATTCGTATCAAAGCCTCACCAGGCGTAAGTTGAACATCAATATTAAGACCTCTGTTAACAGCCGCTTTAGCTACAACATCAGCCCTCTCATTCCATTCAACACCTACATGACTCGGAACCCACAAAATCGGAACAGAACGCAAATTAGACCTGAAAATATCATTATGCACTTCAGCAACTAAATACGAATCAGTTGTATCACTATCAAGAGCATCAATAGCAGCCATACTATCAGTAAAAATAGCACCCTTTTCAACATTCAATTTTTCAAATATCCAAATCGCTTTTTTGATCCCAACCAACTCACCAAATGTAGAAGAAAATTTTTCTGAAAATCTAAAAAGATAAGAAGTCATTTCACAAACATCATGAACCGCTACACCAACCGCATCATCCACTACTGAAGCATCAGTTGCTAGTAGATAATATCCCTCATCTTGCAATCTATATCTTTCCTCCATGTATAAAGCCCGAATTTTTTCAACCGAAAAATTTTTTTTAGAAATATCAAATTTAGACCTTTTCAAAACCAGACCTAAATGCCTTTCAAACCGCGTACTAAAATTAATTCTCTCAAAAATAACTTTAAATTTGGAAAAAACATGTCCATAACTAGACCCCTTAACCAAACCATTACATAAATCTTCTCTTAATTCACTATTAACCATCCATTGTCTACTTAGCTCCTTAGCAGTAAGCCACTCAGCCCTCTTCAACGGAGGTAATTCACCTGCAAGTGCAAACCTGGTGTGTATCGGGGTACTGGGTGGAACCCCAAGACACCTCCTTAACGTATCATTTACAATAACCTGTATCTTCTTATTAGTTCCTAATGGAGCATTGGCAAAAGTAACATTCGAATATTCAACTTTGGACCGTACAAAAGCTTTATAAAAATTTAAAGCCACCCGAGGCTCTAAACCTGACTTGATAGTCGTAAGCTTAGACAAAAGATTCCTATTTGGAATAATATCCTTTTTAATCATACCTATATGATCATTAATCGTAGCATTAAAACATATAACTCTACCCAACCATTTTAAACTAAAAACTTGCTCTATATCCTGCGAACCCACTCTTAAGACAAAAGGTTTCCTCCTGTTTGTACCAATATTCATAAATTTTGTCTTACTATAATTAACTGACAGTTTTAAAGAACCACATAACTGCTGAAAACTGTTAATACTATTACTAAGCAAATTCAAAGCAGCAACATCATTACTATCACTACAAACAATCACAAAATCATCTGCAAACTGAAACAACATGACATTACCAGAGTTAAGTTGATGTAAAAGCGCAGTATAAATATTAAACAATAAGGGTGACAAACAACTCCCCTGTGGCAACCCATTACACACAATAACCTGACTATCCCCAATTTTCAAAATCCTCTTAGAGAAAAAATTATAAACCCAATTAATAATTTTAACATCAGCCCCCTTATCACCTAAAATTCTCTTAAGAGTGACTAAATCAACACAATTATAAGCATCCTTTAGATCCAAAACACAAATAAAAATCTTTTGCCTTTCCGACTTCAACTTACTCACATAAAATAAAAACTCATTAATACACATAGTGGCCGACTTCCCCTTCCTATATGCAAAGCTACGCAAAGGAATAATGCCATTAATATTAGACCATTCTACAAGTCTATCCTTGACCATCATATTTAAAGTTTTAACAATAACCGATAATAGAGAAATTGGCCTATAATTTTTAATGTCACTCAAATTCTGATTTGCCTTAGGAATCGGCACTATCTTAATAACCCTCCACTCATCCTTAACAATATTATTATTAAAATGAAAAACAAGATCAGCTCGCAACTTTTCTTTACAATCATTTGATAATTGCCTTAGCATTTCAAAAGTAATCCTGTCAAAACCTCCTGCCGTACTCTTCTTTTTACTCAAAACCAAAGACAAATCATCCAAAGAAAAATTCAAATAACTATCACCATCACTATATGAACCATTATCATTAAAATCTAAACCAGTACAACCAACATACTGATTACCAACCTGATCCCTAAGCCACTCTAAATATTTCGTATTATCCTCACTAACCCATTCTAATCTTTTATGTTTACATCCCTTCACATTATTAACAAACTTCCAGGCATCTCTAGAATTAGCATTACTATTAAGTTCACTTATTTTAATTTTATAATTCTCACTTTTTGCTTTTTTCACAGCAGCCTTCCATTCTTCTCTCAATAAACAAGCCTGTTCCATATCCTCCACTCTACCAGTCAGCCTGGCTTTCTTACAACTAGCCAAAAGCCTTCTGTACAATCTACTCAAACTATCACACCACCAAGCCTTTGGAGAAAACTTAGTACAGTTTAAATCAATCGTAGCATTTCTAATCTCTTTCCTGATTAAGCTCACAACATCATCAGAATCACCATCACAATCAAGGGTCGTAAGAGCTTTCTTTAACTTAACCTTAGAAACAAAAAGCTGAGGTAATCTTTGAATTCCTTTAATATCAATTAATAAAGGATGATGATGGCTACCACCAACATATCCATAATTACAATTCCAACTAACATCAAAAGCCGAATTAGTAAAAGATAAGTCTAAAACCGACTCAATAACACACCCATTCCTATTCACAGAAAAAGTCTTAGAACCATCATTAAGACATCTTAGTCCTGATCTATTACATATATTAAAAACAACTTTCCCTTTAGGACTATTGTTCCTATCACCCCACATTCTATTCTTAGCATTAAAATCGCCGACTAAAAGTAGATTATTAAACTTAACCAGAAAAGAAAAAAGCCGATTTACTTCATATTCAAAAACTCTAGTACTAACACTAGGAGCAAAATACACAGAACACACAACAAAATTATCCTTCAAATTAATAGTTTTAGCAATGACAATGTCATGTATTGAATTATACCTCACTCTCTCAAATCTTATATTTTTCCTGAAACCTACCGCAACACCTTAGCATTAAAATCGCCGACTAAAAGTAGATTATTAAACTTAACCAGAAAAGA